CAAAATTTGTGTATATGCTTGATAACGACTTGTGAAATCTTGTGGAATAAACAGTGAAATAAACGATAGTAATTGTTATTCCATAAAAGTGTGTTAATTTGATTATGTTCCAATTACTAAATGCCATTCAAAGAATGTATAGTCTAAAGATCCACGTTTGCCTTTGGTCCTGTATATATTGAGCTTGTATGTTGTATTTTTTTTTTTTTTTTTTTTTAAAGGGAATTAATATCGCTTAATTCACGAAAAACCAAGAACAAAATCGTTGAAAAAATGATTTTATTTTATGAAAAAAAAGCGAAAAAAAGGATAAATTGGATTCAAGTGTAGAATTCGTCCAATAGTAGTCTCGCTTGTCATATTTCACACACGTCTGGCTTGTACATATCCTTCCACATAGCGATGACTCGTTATAATGGCTTTGTAATATAATCAAATCTATATGTCAACTATAACGGAGGGGGGTGATATGATTATAATATATGTATTATATATACAAAACGTCCAAACATATCGTTCATACAGAATAGTAGGTTTAAGGAGTACACGCCACACTCAGCGTTTGTTCAGATGGTATCATATTCAAACTGTGAAACACCCGTTCAATTATAGGTATATATATACGTATAGTTTTTCAATAAGAGAGTTGTGCATGTATTATCATCAATATCGTAAAACACACAAGAATGGGGTCTGATTTCCATATATCGGTCAAATAAAATAGGACGAAAGAAGAGCGCGTTATTACAGTTGCGTGTTGTAAGATTCCTAAATTCTTATACGATATTCAAAATAGATGATTTCAAAAACTGTGTGGTGGTTTATACAAGGGGTGGGAGCAGACCATGGATCCTTGCTGGCCCCCCTGGATTTGTGAATCTAATGACGCTTAAGCTTCGGAGTCCCAAATACCTGAGGATCCCTCAGAAGTGACTTTAGTCCACTTTGCCCAAAGTGTTCAGGTATACTATAGTGGTGGGACCTTACTGCTTAGAATAGGGCAGTTTATTGGGGAATAATTGTTGTACAATTCCTGCCTGGCTGTCCGGACAATATCCCACGTAGAATCGGAACGTATCATTATTGAAGTTGGCAAGTGTAGGCTTTTGTATTAACTACAGTTTCTACTTACTGTGAAGGGTCCCAATAACAGTTGAAGCTTCGGGGCCCCTAAAATGTAGGTCCGTCATTGGCTGGGCCCACACCTATTACGTCGATCCTTCAAAAGTGGCATATTTTACACCAACTTATATATAACATGCAATGAATACTCTGTCATCTACTAACCACATTCTATATAATATAGTTTAGTTTAAAATAATGATGACTTATGTGGCAAATATATTCACTTGTAAAATTAAGATGTTCAGTTATGCTTAGATAACAAATCTCAAATCTCAACACTCCGTGTTTCGAGATAAGAGATGGTGCTATATAGTTCCACGTAGCAAAGCCCAACGCAAATCACATCGGGCCTCAATAAGCAAAATTGACAATATTTTTCATCAAAACAACGATTGATTACTGTTATTTATAATATTTCTGCCACATCCAACTACAATTAAGCTTATAATCCTACCTGAAACGGGAAAAAAATCGAGGCGTTAAGCCGTTACTAGGAACGCCATTGTTAAACGGGAGATGTATGACGGTGTTATGTCGGATAAAAACAGCTCTTCATTAATTTAAACGCGAATATTTGGAGTTAGGAGATAGTTGTGCCACTACATTGGCCCCTGTAAGTTTAATTAGTCATAAAAGTATAAAATTATCTTATTTTTAAGATGTTACATGCATTAATAAAGAAACTGAGTTTGCCACTTGGAACTAAAGGCACCCAATCGTGGCTATATACAAGCACATCAGTATATCTCAACTTTTTTAGCTACGTTCCCGTGGCTACATTATGCTAGGTTCCCACTATCACGATTCGTGCTACGATTGGTTTTAATCGTGGAGTAATCGTGGTGATTCTATCAGATCTTACGATATATTGAGGGCACTCGAAACGTATCCGAACGTATCCGCACGTAGCAGATCGTGGACTCAATAGGGACAATCCTATCACAAGGAATCTCACGACAGTGGGAACCTGACATTAACCTCGCAATGCAATTTATACACAAATAAAGGCTCTCGCACTTGTTATAGTATGAGAGACAGGGTTTCAAGCCCAATAGTAAAATATTTCTTAATAATAAAAAGTTACTTATATATTTAACATTAGAGACTTTTGGCAAGTGGAATTATTCCCATACATATCATGTATCCGTATCATCACCTGGTTAAAATTCCCAGGTTGTACGTGACAAGGCGTAGGGTCGCCTGTCCAACCTCGTGTGTTTTCTCCGGGTCCTGTGGTTTCCTACGCTCAAGCGAATTATTGAAATAAAATTAAACCATGTGTTAGTCCCGCAATGACCTGGTTTGTGTCGAGTGGACGTTAACCTCATTCCCCTCGCACACACATACAGATTTGCAAGTTCCCACTTCCCCAAATTTAGCACGTAGATCAACCAGCATGTAGAGATACAGACAGCCAGGAAAAATATGAAAATTCCAAGAAAAATTCCGGTCTTTATAATAGTTTAAATCACCTCAAATACACATACAACAATTGCAGGGAATGATAATGAAGAAGGTAAACTAGAAGAACACCACAATAACTATGTAGATGTGACATAAAATATTAATTGAATACATTAATTCTTCCAATATGCTTAACTGTCAAGTAACCCAGAATCTACAATTTTCGTCTTTCATATCCAGTATTTTAAAACCTAATACGGATTGTCAGAACAGCATTCAGTAAGCTGTATAATAATGGCAGATATATAATTTTATGTTGATAAACAAATTTCAAATAAAGCTTCAAAATATGGATGAAACAACCTGCAAAGAAGAGCAAAATATGGAGTTTCCAAGCATTGCTTCACCCCCATTATTTATAGTTCCCGCTTATAGCCAGTTTTCCCAATAGGTGAATGCAGTGGCGGACCTTCATGATAGATCATCACAAATTAACTTTTTTATTGAACTGTTTTCTATATACTTAACATATTATTGGGGGGAAAATGTTACAAAAGCCATCCACATGTCCAATTCATTAGGACACCCGGTTATAGCGGTTCTGTTAATCACCGACAACGACCGACAAGGGCGCATTTTGGTCAATAACGTCCAAAATATTGCAACAGTGACCGACAATATGTGTAGAATATGCATATCTGTAACATATCTTTCTTTGTCTCTGTCACTTTTGCAATACTTGGACGATATTGTCACAAGAAGGCTGAAGTGGGTTCTTGTCGTTGATTAGTAGGCTCAGTTCTATATTACAGTATAGCTGTTGGTCCCTAAAAATCTCTATGCTGTCCCGCCAGTACAGTAAACCTTTGGGATAAGGTGCTCTGGAGCTCAAGCTTCATTAGTTTTATGGTGGATTCGACCCTGAATGAATTATCTATAAATCAATGATGTTTACACAAGACAACGTGTATCTGTACGATGATCAAAATAACTTTAAAATAACTGGCTATTTAAATCCGTTTTGATTCATGAACTATTTTCACAGGGGTTACATGTTTTTCGACTGAAATCTCATATTTAATATATATATGAATATATGTTGTTTTTTTAAGAGACGTGCCGGTTTGTACCAGTAACAAAGACAATCAACAAAACATTTAATTTGCCAATTATTTTATTCAGTTTGTGAGAAAATTACTGCGAGTCCTCCTTATCAGACATGTCATCGTCTGTTCGATATGGAGTCCTTTTTTTCATTTTTCATTCATTCGCCACACCAAATCACAAATATGCTAATGACCTTCATTTCTTTTATAATTAACTTTCCCCTTTAGTTGCTTGATCTTCGTTATCAGTGATTTATCCCTGCCAAACCTTTTCCGGTGTTTGGATTGGGTAGTTTCTTTTGCAAGTGAAATCGTATCATTTAAACGTATATATTTGGTTCTGTGTCGAGATTAGTTTTACAAATATGCTCCAGTTTTCTTTTCGCCGTCTTTATAAAGCATTCTACTGGAGAGTTTTTCAACAACCCAGATGTCTGTATATAAGTATATATCACTGATTTAATATTACATGTCTATAAACCAGTCTTGTATGTTGCTTGGGGACTATCTTTGGATAACTGTTTCCTTCCTGTCCCAGTGGTATCACTGAAATCCACACCTACCAGCACAGCGATTCTTTCATGTACTTAAGAGTCAGGAGTTGATTCTCCACAGTCTTCCTTAAATATTTACATATTTTTATTTTTACTTATTGTGTTTTCTTGGGTCTTTTGAGTTTTGATATCACTTTATATTTTGTCATATGAAAATTTATTTATTTGTCAGATCACACAAAATCACCTTATTTAATCTCCATTCAAATAAAACGTTGTGCAAGGTTCTTGATTTTGGTAGCGCATTTTGTACTTATGACCCTACAGACAAAAAGACCATCCCTGGTATATCCGATTCAACAAAAACTTCACCAAACTAACTCTAAAACCTCGTTTAGACTATAAATACTCAGCGATAAAATCAACAGTTAAAAATATATCATCATCATCATCATCTTCATAAAACAGTTTTCTTTGATCTTCGATTCGTATATTTACATCAACAATGTATAGTTTATGTTTTATGTATTATAATAGAATACTGTCGTAAACATAATGCCCTCCAATTATTCCCATTATCTGTACTCAATATCAAATGATGAACAGACCGCACAAACGTCGACAAGTAAAAGTGGACAAATACAAACGATGATTGGAAAGCTTTTTTACTTTTAATCTGTGATTCGTAAAGGAGTTTAAAATTAGGACTTAAAAAACTCATTTATCCCACACCTTTACCTCCCATTGAATTTGACTAAATTTTTAATCATAGAACTATTTAAATAATAGAAAAATACCCTTTGATAAATACAAAGTCTGTAGATAGTTTAGTGTTTAGAGCTTATCTTAGTTTCTTTTTTTTTCTTTCCAGGCAGTCAAAGATAACATGGGAACAGACTGCAAGTGTCATGGTGTTTCCGGTTCCTGCACAATGAAAACGTGTTGGACAACATTACCCCCCTTTAGAGAAATCGGAGACTCTTTAAAACTTAGGTACAAAAGATCAAAAATAGTGGTGCCGTATTTAGGACGCCGTGCACGAACGGCTGTATCATTAATGTTGGACCGTGCTAAAAGACGTCACCGGAAACCGAGGCGTAGCCATCTTGTGTTTTTGGATAAATCTCCGAATTATTGTGACTATGATCCTAAAACTGGATCGCTTGGTACAGTGGGTAGAAAATGTAATCGGACAACAAGAGACACCGATGGATGTGACTTAATGTGTTGTGGGAGGGGCTATAATACACATCAATTCACACGCACGTGGCAATGCAACTGTAAATTTCATTGGTGTTGCTATGTAAACTGTAATAAATGTAGTGAACGGACAGAAGAGTATACGTGTAAATGATTATCTGATTAATAGATTCTGTGAATATCTGAGAATGTAGAATTGAGTTATGTCCCCTTATGTTTAGTCTGTGTATTTAAAAAAATCAATGTAAATAGCGGCACATGATTCATGATGTTGAATATTATTATATACCGTATGCAATATGATTATTTATTTAAAGTTATTTTATGTCTAATAGAGAGGAACGTTGTAGATACATAGATAAACTATATTTTTAAGGTCTTTCTAGAATAGACCTTGAACTTGATAAAGGTGAATGTCATATTTTACCATAGAAACGGTTGCTATGGTTTCGAATGGATATTGTGTGTTGTCATGGAGATACTTGTTTTGTTTATCTGGACGTATTCAAGAGATCTGGTAGTGCTAATGCTTATAAGCAACACCGAGCGCAAGCTATATATGTGAAGTAGAAAATTGAATTAATTGTAATAGCTCATAATATTAATTTTTCGCATTCTCCGATCCACAACTAATGTAATTTTGTGATAGACTAACAGCATGAGATTCTCAATCACTTAGTGATGGAAACCTTGCGGCACTTCACTACAGAAACATATCAACCTTAAAGGCATTTATAGAAGAGTAAATGTGGGTCGATTTAATGGGCGATTAAATTTTAAAAAATAAATAAAATTTAATAGATACCATTTGTTTTATGTTTTTGTTATTACAGTCTTTGTGGATAAAGGTTAGTTAAGCAATACCGTATTTTGGTCAATGTGTATTTCCGGGAAGACAAGAAACGATTGAAAAATCCAACAACATGAGCTCACTACACCGACTGTGGCCTACATGCTTTAACATTTTTCTCAAAAAGTTGTCGATTAAAAGGTTTAAGACATCATCAGCTAAGCGAATTTTATATTGAACCACCAAACCACGCTGTAGGCTAGATGCTAGTACATGTACATTTTTTTTCTAGATAACGTCGGTCTTAACTATTCAATTAAGCAAAACTTAATTATACTTATTGATAAAAATAATATTCTGTTCTTGGTTAATTCATTGACTGGTCATGTAAACCAAACACGGGATACTGAAGTCATTATTGGAACTAGAACTCAGTCTATTATTGCTAACAACATGATAGTTAATTATATCATTCGGATTAACAACAAGGAGACACCATAAATAGAATTATCAATTAAAAACGAAACGAAATTTATGGGAAATTACTGAAAATTGCAAATAAATCGGCTTAAGCATACTTGTGGCTTGATTCCTCACGATTTCAAACTGGTCTCGATCCGGATGGCACGACATTTGGTAAACTAGAAATTAGCATAGTTTGACTTCAACCGACAAGTTGAATGACCATTTCTGTTTTCTTGAATCATGTGTTTCCTTCATTTGATTATATTGAAAACATATAATATGAATATTAATCGGAAAAGGTGATCTATAAATATATTAATCACCAACTAATTTTTCAGAAGCTTAACTTCCTGCTATCGCTTTGAGATTAAGTTTACATTTTTATGTAATTAAGATTGTTGTCTTAATCCCTGTCTAAGTAATTTTTTGATAGTCTAGGACTTAAATATGCGGTTAGTTTGTTTCTCTTTGTGTATATGCACATTTGACTGTTTTGGTTATAGACATTTCAAAAGTGTAAAATTGTTATTTTCTCATATGATTTCGGGTTATGTAATAACTTTCTTAGCAATTACTAAACTGATATAGAACATATTCAATTGAAAGACTCATTATCATGAAAGTCTTTTTGCATAAATTGATAAATAAAGACTTCGAATAAAATCAAAATGTTTAGAAGCAAATGCGTTACGTTTCTAAATAAATAAATAAATGCTTTAAAGGGGTGCAGTTGCAATTCAAACTATACATGTAATAGAGTCAATGATTTCCTAGGGCTGTATGAATGACTGAATGCTTGAACGTGAGAAAAAGAAAGTTTCTCTAAATAGATGTGTATATATCTACTCCATAACCTTTAACTCAATGAAACGAACCGTGTAAGCAGGGCGACGGTTTAAAAAACTGGTAAGGATTAAAAAGGAGTGAACAGGCGAGGGGAAAAGTTCGCCGAGTCAAGATCTTCGAGCACTTACAAATACCCGTGAAATTCCAAATAGACTAATTTCTTCATTTTTTTCTCAAACTCACGTCAAATTGCCTCCAAAGATGAGTAGCAGCTTTGCTGAATGCATGCAACGCCCTAATTCGTGTTAAAATGAAACATTCTTCGCCATAACATACTGCAGAACACGGTCACATATTTGTTGTTTTCATTTAAATTAGGAAACACAAAATAACGGTTATCGTGATTCAATAGCAAAAGCATTTACATATATAGGTGTGGGATTATTTATTTTGTCTAATGTTTAATTCATGCATTCTATTTATTCCTCAAAAACATAAGTATTGAATAATGTTCGACTGTTCAGGTACAAAACAATAACTGACGTACGTCTGAAAACAGTTGTTTGCTTAAAAGGAATTCGTTCACTAAAACATATTGTCGTTGAATCTGATTAGACTATAATTGTTTCGCTATCAAGGTCTTTTATTTTAATGGATCTACCACTTGCATCTTCATCTCGTACTCTTCTGTATTCTTCTACAAATGACCATCTATTATTCTGCACAAAAAGATCACAAAACTTGTATCTTATTCCAGTTTGCATATATATCTCCTCTTCCCTCAGTATTATGTTTGATTTGTTGCAAAAGCTTATCCAATGGGTCTCTTCCTATTATTCTCTACCACAAGATTACACAACCAGCAACGTACTCTTCACATTCGGCAGCTTGCTGGTATTTCGCAGCAAAAGAGCACGCAACCTGCAGCTAGCTGGTATTCCACACCAAAAGATCACCAACCTGCTTCTTGCTGGTATTCCGCACCAAAAGTTCATCCATTTCAATTCTTTGTGTTATGCTGCAGCAAAAAAAACCCACCCAACCCAGAGATCACAAAACCCACATATTTTTTCGTCACCAAAAGACTACCAATATGCATCTTGTTGTTTTTCTTCGCAAAATCACTCAATCTGTCAAGTCTTCGCCAAAGAGTGGGTTTATCTGCATAACCCACAATTTAGTATGAATAGAATAGCATGCAGCAAAAGTATCCTCCATCTAGCATCTTTCTATTATTCTTCAAATCCATCATGTTATTCTTCACTAAGAGATCATCCCATCCGATTTGATTATCCATTGGCTTTGCCCTTAATTAATTTTACAGTCATTTAAAAAGGAACGTCCATATTGTTCAGATCTATGCATAGACTGTTACCGTTATAGTGGATTTACGCTGGTGATCTCAATACTTAATTTATGTACAATATCACTTTTAGCTGTTGCTCAGGGGCTTACTGTGATTGCTATTCATGGTGTCTGTTTTAGACGGCCCAATAAGAGACCACCATCACCGTCTCTACATTATAAACAGATGAAATGTTGTTTTTCTTACGCTTCAGAGAAACATATAAGAGTTTCTGACGCGAGTTAATTGTAGCTTGTAAAACAGTCCCTTTGGGCCATCTGTGATATGAAAACCATGAAGGTAACGAAAACTACGGGGGACTGTCTATAAACAGCCTAGCTATTCGGGATGTAGCATAGAAGTAGTCGCGCATTACATCATATACTTGTTTTATAGAAGACATTGGCGATCTGTGTGTTTCTATACAATATCAAATAGCGTGATATCAAATACGTCGCGTTAACACTTGCCTGAGTCGGTCTATTTCAAAATAGCTAATGAGGACAACTAAATTTACTGGCACAAAAGAACTATGAAAAGGGAGTTAATTCAAGCATACCACCCTCACCTGCGAACTTACTAATGTGAAAATAATATTCTACACGAAGGCACGTAAACTGAGAATCATAAATACGAGTATAATTTGACGCGCCTGTTATGTCCTTCTTTCTTTCTTATTTTGAAAATTGAGTGGATTGATTCAATGTGAAAAAATCAAAACTCCTTATCACCACCTCCTTACATTATTCATTAATGTTATTCCTCTTTTTTTTCATTATTCATTTGGACAAATATTCACTTCACCCAGCGAAATGGATATCTCGTATGGACTTCACTGTGTGTATGAATAAACACTGGCCTAAATGAAATGTTTGTGGGTTCGATCAACTGAAAAGCAGTATTTTCTTAAACGATATGGTATTTTGAAGCAAATATTATTTTTAGTAAAGATATCAAGGTTGGCGAAAGTCGACATTAGGTTGATTTGTTTGTGTATATAGTTTCTGACGGAATAGGACATTGATTGTTATATTGAATTGTAATTCCAGAAAATTGTAAGTTTTCCAGTTGTTTGCCGTGTAGTTAACTTCTTGAAACCCTGTGAACCTCTTAACTTTTCTAAATCCAACCGAGCTAATTTTGTGTTTGAACGGTGAGGCGAACTTTAACGTGCTGCCAATCGTATACACGGGATTTGAGTTTTCGTCCCATTCAATTGACTAGACGCATTTCCCTGCACGCCCTCCGCCCTGCATCACTGGTAAGTGCAAACCAGCCGAGGAACTTTCAAGACCATCACCTGGATTGATCCCGGGACCTCTTTGTTAGTAATCAATACTTACGGAGCCAAAGTGTAACAGCCCAACTCTTCCCTCAAGCTAAAACAACATAGAAGAATCATTGTATATGTAACGTTTCGAGTCGGTTGTTATCTACTTGACCGTTATGTGAAAAAGACTGTACAGTGAACTAAAAAATGAATGACTTTGTTCTCCCAACGATTTCTTTGGACGCATTTTAAAACGATTTCAGAATCAGGCAGGCATTCAAAGCTTGCATAAGGAAACACAATATCAACTCCGACAAATTACCCGCAAATGTGCAATAGGTCACCATCAAATGTCAACCAATGCAAGCAAATTACCATGGTGAAACCATTCCTGATCTTGCGAATTAATTGTTTCAACATGGCGTGTTTAACGGTACATAGGTGTTATGTACATTGGTGAATGTCTTCTGTAAGTAGCTGGTGAATATTAGCATGTATTGTGCCAACTTGTCATGCATACCAGCCTTACTGTCAGTAACTGGCCAAACAACCACATAACAATCCTCACGCTAATCCTGAAGAGCTGCAAGAATCTCTGATTAAACTCTCGCGCGTGACTTCCACCTTATTTAGTCTATTTTTTCTGACTCTTTTTAAGAAATTTTCAGGGCGAAAGTTTGCCTAAAACCAACGAAACGACGTCTGCCAAGTTGCCCAACAGCGAGAAGAAAACAATAGGACAATGGAAGACTGTTTATCAAGAAGCCAATTTTAGCATTGATCCTCTCAGAGAAGGCCAACAAGAATTAGGAACAATAGACTATCAATTAAAATTGGTATTTAGAACTGTCCCCGGCCTGTTCTTCTTTGTTCATATACTGTTAGTGTTTCGTATCATGACCACTGTCCAGTCAATGTTAAACACACTCAATATTTACTGTTCATTTTAAAATGGTTGGTAATGGGCGAGGCTGGGACAAGAAGTAATCCGGTGGAATCCTAGTTTATCACTGGTAGAAAAATAAAGATCTGTCAAATTTTATTTGCGATGGTAGAGCACATAAATAACCGTATTTGGGTATAATACCAACATAGAGATTATTGTAATGTTTTAAGTTTATATCATAATGTGTATTATTATTTTTTCAATA